TCAGCATGTTCAATGTTTATGTGTTCGATGCGGCAAACGGCATGAATGTTTACATCAGATTTGGACGTGAATAAACAACGCATCCACTTATGCAAACCAACAGGCAAATTTCAATGGTGAAGGCAGACGATATGTTGCGTCGCGCCTAAGTCAAACTTTGCTACTACGCTCAATAGCACTACTGAAGTGAGATCATCAATCTAACTGTGCGTTTTTTTCGGAATAGGTTGAACGCACCGTCGAAGAGCATGAGTTATACATACGTCTGCGTCGATGGAGGAATACTATTTTTAACCAACATTTTCAAATACTAATCGTACTAGTTTAGTGATCTTTTTCATTCATTTATTTCGGATTACTTTTTTCTTCATTTTTTTCTCGGTAATTTTAAAAATAATTCGCTTTCATTACTGCGGCGAGCTCCTACTGGAATAAAATGTAGCGCTCTTAAACACTGGATATTTCGGTCGAAATGCATTTTTGCCACCTTTTCCTTTTCCTTGATGGGTTTCGTCTTCGTATATTGGTGTATCTGCAATGAAATATATCACAATTTTCATTACGATGAAATAAAGTTCAGATAATAAATAAAGCGAAAAAACGCCAACACGTTTACCGTTAATTGCAAATGAAGTGGATGCACCATTTCGATTTGAATGTGCAAATGAGGTCATATTTTGTTTGGCTACGTCTGCCTTTATGTTTTCCCGTATTGGAGATGTGCCGATGATGATTGGGATATCAATACGAACATTTTTCCGACAACATGGCGTTACACCGATAATCTGTACGAATTCACTCACGCAATTGAGAGTGCATTTGGTAAAACATATCAAGAAACAAAAAACACGGAATGAATTGAAACGAGTGCAATTAAGTGCGAAACACTAGTTTCATAAAATTTGAAAATGTCAGTCACTCACGCGAATCAAATGTTCGACTGAAATGATGCTGCTTGAGAAATCAGTCGGAGGAGACGGCGGCACTTCAAGATTTACAAGAATTATTTTGTTCATATATCTGTCGATTCCGCATGCATCCTGTTTATTTATAGTTGATGTTTCAATTCGTCGAATTTCATTTGTCGAATACTTTGAATTGGGTGTTTTAAAGTAGGTGACTTGCTAAAATAGACAAACCAAAATCAATAAAAATTCCTTTGTGAAACATTGTTCCGTGCGTACTTTGAGTAAATGCACCGTAAACTTTGAAATTGGTACAGCTGATTGATTGTCTACAATCATGTCCAAATTGATCATTTGTCCGGGAGCGTAACCGCCAACCTACAAAATGAGATCGATTTGAGATCATTGCACAGCAAAATTATCATTTCTTCCTTTTGCTAAATTGCAACTAAAACACTGGAAATCGGCTTTTGCAAGCCACTCATTATAATTTCGTCTATGTTTACCGTTGTTCGAACGAGGATTTTGATGGCATCGGGACACCAGCAAAACAATAGTATCGATCGACGATACGGTTTTCTACTATCGATGATTATTCGACTCTATGAGAGAGAGAGAGAAAAGATCGTTTAAAATTAAACTTTGAACTTTGAATTTAATCGTCGCATAGACCACACATGCACAATAAATTACCCGTAGCCCTAGATTGTTATTTAAGTCGATTTCCCGTATGACTGTGAACGGTTCTCTGAATGTTTTTTCGGGCGATCTTTTGTTGTCGATCACCACAAGAGCAGTGTACCGGATGTATCCAAATTTGCCTTCTAACGATGTTGGCAAGTCAGATGGCAGCTTACATTCAAAATCGTAGTTATATACACCACGCGTCAATCGAACCTCTCCTATCATTCGAAACAACATTCACATTTTAATTAGAACGAAACCAAAAAGTCCATTTGACATAATATATGCATAACACACTACCGTTTGTTCCACCCGCAAAATATGTTCGTTGATTTAAGTAGTCTTCGTTGCCAGTATGTGTTTTGTAGAATTTGAATCGTTCACGCCAATGTGTGTACGCTCCTCCATATAAATGAATATAAATGCCGCGAACATTTACTTCTTCTGCCAAATTCAATTGCACGGTTCCATGAACATTTTCGCCCGAATAAACCACTTTTTGTGGATTGTTTTCAAAATTAATTTGACAAGTGGTTGGCATTTTGCTTTTGTAATTTCTTTTCACTTTGACACTTTCACCTCAAATTGCACGTTTTCTTTTTATAATGATAATTTCTTGAAAATTTTTAATTCTAAAAATAGCAAAAATATAAATGCGTTCAATCAATCAGCAAAATAGTAAAATAGAAAAACAAAAGAACAACAAACTGTACCGTTGACATAGTAAGACATTTAAAACTGACTTGAAGCTATTTGTTTCGATCGAATGTTCACTCTCATTTTTCTGTTGACTGGCTTTCGTTGCATCATTTGACGTTTTGTTCAACTTTATTTGACGATTTTATAATTAGATAAATCACAACACAATCTGACTTCGATGTTCACCAAAATAAACCGCACTGACGACGATACGGACTAGCCGTCGAACAAGAGAGTGAGAGGTTCTTAAGCCTTGCATGTAGCAACGACGAAGCGCCTTAAAAGAGTGAAATATATTGGAATGGTGATCGTGAATAGGTCCGTTTCATACATATATGTGAATGTGTCGCGTCAATCGTAATCCGATGTCCGAATCGTATCGAAAAACGTCGGCTCTCATTTTGCTGTGTAAACAAATTGTCACATCTGTCTCTCATGATGGATCTAGGCGAGATGTGCGCGAAAAACGTGATGAAAACAATAAAAACGATCATTTACTCGTCGAAAAAAACGATAATTTTTAACCGAATCCATTTATTTTTATGTCAGTTTTGAGTGAATGAAACATATGAAAATATAATACACGGTCAACATCAATTCAAATACGATCGTAACCAACACACCGTTATCCAGCATAAACGATCATATCCGCATTATTTTCATTATTTTGTAACGAAAGATAAGAAGATGGCATTCTATATTATACCCACTAATGGAAAATTTCCAATTCTTCAATGTTCAACACCTTTTTTTCTAGTTGCATGCGCCGTTCTACATACTTTCCTAAACTTTAAATATGGATTGTGATTCATTTCACGAAGTGCAAACTCAACAATACCCATTGCACAGCAACATCGCTTTTTGATACCGATAAAAATGGATGAATTCAATTGATAAGAAAGGTTTTTTTTGTGAAATTTTTCTCTAAACAAATCAATCAGAGTCAATTTATTTCATTTTCAAACGGCACGTGTTTTATAAAGAGAGGTAGCGAAATAGTAAAAATAACTCATTTTTCTGTAGAATAAAGTTAACTATCGACATTTGGCAGATCAAAGCGCTCCGTACGGTAAAGTATCACAAAATCAGCACCGCTTTTGTGAATGCGCAACGTGTCTTGTGCGCAAATGTAAAACACAATGCATGGTATATCTGTGGAACATTTTTCCGCCTGCGTTTACTTTAAAAAACAAATTTAGATGCGGCGTAGTTTTGCAATTTCATTTTCACGCGAATGCGTTTATTTTCTTTTCATGGAGACGTTAGCGAAAAACGTTCAGAATTATCAGCTATTATTGCGTATGAATGATTTTAGGCACAAATCAATAAAACACAAGTATTTGAATGATTTAAATGAACTCACTTTTATCAGCCTAACAATTCAAACCTCTAAATGAATCTCTTTATTCATTCTCAAAAAAAGTACAACGTGTTACTGTTCATGTTAGACTACTGACATTTGTAAATATATATTTGATCTCTTATACAATAATACCCAGTGTTTTAATGAATGAAAAGCATCAATTCACAATGAGATACGTGTTTATTGTGAGATACGTGTGTCTAGTACCAAACAAATGAAATAATTGCGATTCCATTGCTTAATTTCTTGTGGAGTAATATGTTTCACGTTTGAACATTAGATACTTTGGCCTGACCCGATTGAAAACTGCACCATAAACAGCCAATGTTTCTTCATAAGATAGTGGATTTTTAATTAGATCTTTAAGAAAAATTATCAATTTGATTAATTATTATTAATTAGTGGAATTAATGATATAAAAAAAGAATTCAAACGCAATTCACCGTTATTTGCGAAGGTCACTGACTCATTGTTTGAACTTGAATTGGCTGTTGTTGCATCGTTATTTTGATTACTCAATTCGAATGAATCATCTTGAATTGGATACGTTCCAATTGTGATTGGTAAATCAAGTATTGGATTACTGTGGAAAATTGAATCAATGGAACCGACAAACTGTGAACAGTTTAAACCAAGTGATTTCAATTCAGCAAATCAAGTGTTAAAATAGGTAATAGCTACAGCTATGACTAATAGCTATTAGTCATAGGACTTACACGCATCCAATATCTCACTTTAACAATATTACTTGTCAAAAGATCCGTTGGTGGAATTGGAGGAATCGGAATGTTTACAAAAATGGTTTCATTCTCATATCTCTTACATCCTTCTGTTTTCGCTTTAATCATTGATGTTTTCTCTGATTTGTAGCGGTTACTGTTGGCATGTTTGTAATAGATGATTTCCTTAAATTAAATGAAAAATATTCAACATTATTTCAATTCAGCCTTTTCCTGAGTATATCTCAATATAAATGTAAATCTCCTACTCTTATCAACTCAACGGAAAATCTAACGATTGACTTATCGCTGTGATTGTTAACAACAATTTGCGCATTAATTATCTGACCAGGAGTGAATGCTTGAACTGGTGCTCGAACAACAATTTCCATTGGATACTTTGCCGTGTATTCAGCTCTTATTGGATTCTAGGTATAAAAGGTCGGAAAAATTTACTCAAGAAGTAATAACAGATGAAATATTCAAATTATTTTCATTCAAAAACGTTACTCTGTACACTGGATCAGTATTCAAATCAAACGGTTTTATAACCGTAAATGGTATGTGTAGGATCTTCTTTTTCTCGGGATAAATTGCGTCGATGACGAAAAGCGCAAGGTATCTGATATGGCCATGCTTGCCCTCAATCGATGTTGCCAAACCAGATGGTAATCTAAATTCAAACATGTAGTCATGAATACCTGGTGCCATTTTAAAAACGCGTTGCCATTTTCTCAACGGTTGCTTTTCGTTATACGATGGATCATTTTCGGGTGCACCCACAAAATATTTGCCATCATTCAAGTACACTTCTTTGCCGCTAAACGTTTTCCGATGATCACTGTACCAATTGTGCAATCCAAAATCGTTGCAAGCATATTCAGTCCAACTTGCATACGCTCCGCCATACAAGTGAATATAAATTCGTCGAACTTTCTTCTGTTTGATCAGATTCAACTGCACTGTTCCACGCATTAGTTGGCCGGAAAAAAACACCCGCATCGGATTGTTTTCAAATTCAATTTCACAAGTGTTTGATGTTTGGCACATTTTCACTTCGAAATGATAGAAAAAAGGCAACTTTCAAAAACAAAATTCAATCAAATTGTCAATCAGTCCAAAATATGGGCAACTTGAATTAATATTGAGAAAGCCAAAAACTTGATTCAGAGTGAGTTTATGAAAGCAAAAATAACAATTAACTTTAATGTTGGACAAATTAAACTGGACTGATGACAGCCCATAGGTCAACAAGAGTTTTATACACTTTACGCATGAAGAAACACCATTACCATTCTCATTAACGGTTTTGCTTTAATCATATAATTATGTAATACGCAGTTCAAAATTAAACGAAGAGAATAATTACATCAATTCAAATGAATTTTGAATGAAAATAACAACAATGTATTTTTTGGGTTGATTCATTTATCAAATGCGCAATACAGACTCTGTATTACAGAGTTCTACTTTGCATTGGCACAAAGACACGGTCGATTTTATAATATCGTGGACTCTATGGTATTTCTATATGAATATGAAGTTGCATGTTTGAACATTGGATACTTTGGTCGAAAATTATCATCTGTGGCGCCGTACGCTTCCAAAGTTTCTTCGTAGGTTGGTTGATCTTGAAGAGCAAAGGAAATAAAATACCATATCAATTAAAAATGATTCATATTAATCGTTACATGAAACATATTGTTGTGATAGGAGAAGAATACAAAATAAAAACGTGAATATTCAAGTGATTTTACCGTTAATTTCAAGCTCATCGTCCCATTTCGAATACAAATCGTTATTGTTAATTTTCATATCATCTCGAATCGGATAGGTGCCAATTGTGATTGGGAATTCAAGTGTAGGATCTTCGTGATGGCACAACATTGAATCAATGAACCCAACAATCTGTGAAAGATGTTGAGCAAATGTTCCGGCTACATAAATCTTATAATCCTTATAAACCATAACATATATCCTTGTGTCTACTGCTTAGTTTGTTTATGACAACAACTTACCCGCATGCAATATCTAACTTTCACGATGTTACTCGTCGAAAAATCAGTTGGTGGAATTGGTGGCACAGGGATATCAACCAAAAATGTTCGATCTTGATATTTTTCACAGCCCTGTGTTTTTGTCCTCACTATAGATATTCTTTCCAATTTGCGAATATTACTGTTTTTCGATTGACAATAGGTGATACCCTGAAAATGAAAAAGAAAAACATTATTCCAAATAAGATTCAAATTCAAACCCATTCGTACACTTCTTACTCTAATTAATTCAATTGAGAGTTCAGCAATCGATTGTTTGCTTTGATTATTCACGTAGATTTCCACATTGATCATTTGGCCGGGAGCGAAGGCTCGAACCGGCGTCCGAACGACAATTTTCATTGGATACTTTTCAGTGCTTTCAGCAATGATTGGACTCTGAAAATAACGAAGGTAATTATTTCAAAATGCACGGAATCGATTACAATTCTTTTGAATCATTTACTCGTAATATTGGATTCAGATTTAAATCGAACGGCCTTATGACAAAGAATGGAACTTCGTATATTTTCCTGCATGGATATATGATATCGACCACAAAACGAGCGAAATATCGAATGTGACCGTGTTTCGCTTCAATCGACGTTGCTAAATCAGGTGGTAACGTACATTCGAAATTGTATTTGTAAGCGCCTGGTGCTAGTTTAAATTTACGTGTTGATTTCCTCAAAATTCGAGCCGCTTTCCTCGATACATCACCGACAACTGGGCCAACAAAATACGATACTTTATTCAAGTATTCTTCGTTTCCGTTGTATATTTTCCAACGGTTACTGTGCAAACCACCAAACCACTCATATTCAGTCCAACTGGCACACGCACTGCCGTATAATTGAAAATAAACACCGCGCACCTTCTTTTGTTTTGTCAAATTCAACCGCAAAGCAACACGCAACAATTGGCCGGCATAGACCACTTTCAGTGGATTGTTTTCGAATTCAATTTCACAAGTGGTCGGCATCTTTTCTGACTTTGTGCACTTTCACTCTGAACTGAGTTGGCATCTACTTTTACCGCAATTCATGAAGGATTCTAGGTCTGAATATGAACTAAAGATTTATCGATTTGGGACAAATCCAAATGCACCTTAACTGATTAACACATAAATTTTTAATTTCGAAGGAAGAAAACCGAAAATGACGTTTCCAGAGAACTACCGTATTCAAAAAGATCAACTGCAGTGCTAAACGAATGAATTTCAACTAAATCGAGGCTAGATAATGAATACTTCCAGAAATATTGTGTACAATGACGCAGTATAGATTCAACGGTCTGTGTTAGTCTAACAAGTTAAAAAAGACACATGGGCTATTTCATATGCATTCGAAATAATACACATGAATATAATATGGTTATGAACTACAGTCTATACACATTATTATACATTGTAATTAAAATTGTTTTCATTACGTTCACTCGTCGAGTGTACTCTGCATATGTGATAGGTCAATAGTTGAAAAGATTGAGCAATGGTAACATCTGAACGAATTAAACGCTGTTTTGATGCTCAAATTGAAATTTTGTTGAACTTTTTTTGAGTAGATATGTCATACTGAAATTTATTCAGAGATTCGTCAATTTTTCACAATGTGACACCAACGAGGGGCGAATCACTCTAAAGTAATTTGTAATAGAGAAAGTAATCGAGAAAGTACCCGTGTGAAAAAGAAATGACTGACTGACTATAACTTCAGTTGACTTTAGTTGATTGAATTTATATTTTTGTTCTAAGAAAATCACTTGGTCCCAAATGAAGCAACTTAGATTGACTTGTAACTTCAAATGATTTCAGTTAACTATGATAGACTTACACTACACTTTGTACTGAAATGTCAATCAAAGTAAGTCATTTTTGTCCCAAATTAGTTAACTGACTGCTCAGTTACTATTTTTTCACACGTGATTTACGTGTAAAAATCTCGATTACTTTTCAAAAGTAATCGAGATTCTTACACGTAAATTACTTTCTCTATTACAAATTACTTTAAAGTGATTTGCCCCTCGGACACCAATGTTACTTCAAGTTGCAAATCTGTTGATGTAAATATCACCTCTGAAATTATATAGGTCATGGCAATCACACGCTTATGACTTGTCATTTGAATTTAAATTGTTGACAATGGCAACGGATTGCCAATGCCATCCCACCAAAATAGTATAGAATTATTTTTGAAACTAATTTCCTTTTCTTTCCATCCAATTTGAAAATACAAGTATCTACTCAAAATATGTTTACAGATTTAGTAAGGTTAAAGTGAAACGTGAATTGGGTGGACATTTGAAGTGGAAATTCTAAAGAAAATCCATCTGATCGTGTTGAGCCAGTATATTCAGTTGTTTATACACCACCAACGAGTATGGCGTAAAAGTAAAAATACAGTACAGATTGCATGAAGAAGGTATGAAATGTTTATTCAATACTTTCGCGTTATAATATGTCATTTCAGTTGGAAAACTCCACTGTTATCGGATTCATCAGTCGGATTCAGTCGGACGAATAACGGTGAAAGGTTCCTCAAATTTCTTATCAACCCACATTGGCATATCGCAAACGACTTTTGCCACATATCTGATATGTCCACAATCGCCTTCAATGGACGACGGCAATTGATGGGGTAGTGTGAACTCAAAGGTAAACTTGTATGTCCCCGGTTGTAATTCAATTGAACCAGCTAAATTATAATTGCAACATTAGTGGTGTCATTTTCGAATACACCGACCCATTACCATTATTGAATCCACCGACAAAACATGTTACATCATTCAGGTAGTCTTCTTTGCCTTGACACAGTCTTCGTTGCTCTTTCCAATTTGCAAATCCAAATCCACATATATGCGAATATAAATACAGCGTACGGATTTTCGATTTTGAAATTGAGTTCTGCTGTGCCCTGTAATAATCCGCCAGCGCAAAAAACTTTCTGTGGATTGTCCTCAAACTCAATTTTACACGTGATCGACATTTTTTCCTTCACACTTTTCACTTGGAATTGGTTTCAATCCGGCTATCAGTTTATTCAGAGAGCGTTGGTATACAGTTCTGTTTTGTTCAAAGCGATGGAAAAAAATCCGTTGTATCAGTTATGTTGATCAAAATAGACTAGTCCGATGATACAGTCGAAAAGATACACCATGCACCTGTTTTGTAATCGCCAAATATTGGGTTTCAGCCAATGGCTCCACTATGGCGGGTGACTCCAAATACACGAGAATTCCTTTGCACACGATCACAATGCACTTGCATCATTACGTTCGTGTTTGGAATTGCATGGTGAATTTAAATATCTGATGCACATCGGATCGAACATTTGGATAAAGGGATTGCGCCGATGTTGATGATGAACGTGTTCATTGCAATTTTTTGTGGAATTCAGTAAATGGAACGAATATTTTATTCATTTTGAAACTGATGAAAATGAAATACATATGCAAGCTCTGTTAAAAAGCCCCAATTATCGTTAATTAGCACGTGAGATTGATATGGAAAAATGGCGTCGTGGCCAATCATCTAGAAAAATGTCCAAACATATAACGGATATTGAGATATTTGATAAGAATTGAAAATTGAAAATCTTGGTTTAATTACACAATTGCATTGCAACGTGGCACATTGATGATTGATAACACTATTCTCATTGCATGCAATTCATGTGTATATGTAAAATTCGACAAAAATTAATAACAGAATAAGTTGAAAGAAAAATGGGTGATTGATTTTTTTTTCTTGCAAAATTCATTTATTTGTTTCACACAAAAATATCACACAGTGGTTTTGAATAAAAATTTTCAAAAAATGCTTTGTAAAAGACACAAAAATCAATGAATCTTTAGATAAATTTCATGGCCAAATCTTTGGTGAATATCAAACGTGAAAATTTTCTGGTTTCAAAACAATTCGGTGGGACGACCAGAAAAATTCTGGTCAATCTCATGGAAATGTAGCCGTCGGAGTGCACGTTCTGTTCACGTTACGTTAAGGCGTACACATACAACTGCGTTAACGTAAAAGGAGTACAGCGATATATTGTATCACAGAACACGATATATTGCTGTACTCCTTTTACGTTAACGCAGTTGTATGTGCACGCCTTAACGTAACGTGAACAGAACGTGCACTCCGACGGCTACTTTTCCATGAGATAGTCTGAATATATTTAATTTTCACAGGTGGAATTGCAATTTTGATGCTTGGATATTCGGCATCGGGATGTTTACCATTTGCACGCAGCACATCTGCATACGTTGGTGGATCTACAAACAAATTGATGAATGCATTTTACGTCACATTTCGGCATTTACTTACCATTCCATTCTGTTAATTTGGGGCTGGTGTCCTCATCGGGTAATCGAACAACCGATGGCTGTTGTAAAATCACATTATCCGACGAAATTGCACTGCTTGCACGAGAATACACATTTTGTGTCACAATACCACCATCTTGAATGGGTTGAGTGCCAATCGTGACCGGCATAATGAGTTTGAATTTACTGCAGAACATTGGTGTCGATGCAATCACCTAGGTGAAACCAATAAAAGCATTGAAAGCTTTGAACATAATTAGAATGACTCATAAAAATCATGAGAAAAATATTACTCACACGAATCAAATATTCGACGTGAACAAGATTGCTTGAAGTATCCGTGGGCTGTGTTGGTGGAACATCAACATTTACAACAATTGTCTTTTCTTGGCGTTCGCTGCAACCGCCGGCCGATTTTTTAGCCATTAATTTAGATTCCCATTTTTGATGTTCATCGTTTGCACGCTTGAAATAAGTGATTTGCTGCAAATGACAATTTCCCATTGAGTTCGTATTCAATTAACGAAATGGATTGCGATTTATCTCTCACTTTGATCAATTCCACAGTTAATTGAAGAATCGATAGATCGCTTTGATTATTTATATTAATTTCCACATTAATAACCTGTCCCGGAGTATAGCCGCCAATGTTGGCGCGTGCAACAATTTTCAGAAAAATTGCATCTGAAACGCAGCACAATGCATAGCATGGATGGAATTTTCTTGTTTTCTCAACTACTTGCGGATCCTATGGATAAACATATGCATACTGAATTCAATAATTTTAGAATTGAAATGAAGAAGTGCTAATTTGCCGTAGGCTAATTTTAGTATAGTCACGGCGGCAATGCAATTCATTTCATTCAAATTTCAAAACACTTGAAAGAAATCAATATCAATTTTTAAATTAAAATGAAGTTAATTACTTTGAGCCTTGGATCTGCATTCAAATTCAAAGACTTAATAACGGTGAACGGAACCTTGAATTTCTTATCTGGCCACATCGACCGATCGAGCACAACACGAATGTTGTAACGTACATGCCCATATCGGCCTTCGGTGGATGTCGGCAATTCCGGTGGCAACATGCATTGAAACGTATAGTTATATGTGCCTGGCTCCAATCGAACTTCACCTGTCAATGAATCAAAGGTCCTTCAA